ATGCATAAAATATTCTGACATTTCTCTAAGAACTTGCATGTCCTGAGCTGAGCCTAGGTTAGGTGCGTGCCTCCATTGTCCAGAAGCAACCATATCGGTACCCTCCATGAGACTTCTCCATCTCATCTTTAAGGGGCTCTTAAAGATAAAGGGATAAAGATAAGGGGCTCTGAGGGATTAAAGATAAGGGTTAAGCAGGACCTTGAAGAGCAGAAATATATCTGAGGCAGGTTAGCTATTAATGATCTCTACCAGAAAGGCACAGATCCAAAAAATCCAGTGAATTGAAAAAACAGAGACAAGGAGACATGACATGAAATGTGTAGGACAGAGGGAGGCCCAGACTGAGGGAGGAAGATACTGAGGAACAAATTAGAGGTATTATGAAAGACAGAATTATGAGGGATAGACAGAGAAGCACAGAGAGATGAAAACCGAGAGAGTAGTATTTGTAGATGAAATGGCACGACAATAAATTCTCCTCCCACTCACCCCCCCCCACGTACTCACACACACGTACTCACACACGTGGAAGCAATGCCAAAGAGATGTAACAATTCCCAGAATCCTGGAATAACAGGTTTATTTGGTATGAGGGTTCTAGGATGGTTGTCTGAAACATTCATTCAGGGATGGTGGGACACCTATTTCTAGAAAGTAGGTTGTGAACCATGGTGAAGCCACAAATCCAAGTCCTGGTAGGATCGTGTATTCATTCATTACATAAATATTTTGTGAAACTGCAAAAAGACAGCCACAGGCTAATGAAAAGTTTCTCAAAACTTGAACAGATGTTTCTCCAAAGGTGGACAAATGAACAAAATGCACAGAAGATGCCCAACAAAATTCATCATGAGGGAAATGTAAATCAGACTACAGTGAGCTACCACTTCCCACTCACTGGGTTGGTTAGAATTTGCAAAAGTGAAAAAAGTGTCAGGAAAGATGTAGAAAAATTGGAACCCTATACCTCACTGGTGGGAATGTAATGTGTAGTGGCTATTCATAGTGACATTATTCACAGTAGCCAAAAGGTGCACACTATCCAAATGTCTATCAAAAGACGAGTGGACTGAGGCACCTGGGTGGCATCCAGTTGGCCATCCAGTTCATGGTTTTGACTTAGGTCATGGTCTCATGGTTCATGAGATCGAGCCACACATAGGGCTCAGTGCTGACAGTGCAGAGCCTGCTTGGAATTCCTCTCTCTTCCTTTCTCTCTGCCTCTCCCTGCCCTCTGCCTCAAAATAAATAATCTTTTTAAAAAGTTAAAAAAAGATGAGTGGATAAACAAAAGTACAGACACACAATGACATGTTAATCAGCTATAAAAAGTCATGAAGTACTGACACATACTACAGTGTGGATGAACTATAGGAAGTGTAAGAAACTAGACACAAAATATTTTTATTGTTCCATTTATATGAAAAGTCCACAGCAGGTAAACCTATGGAGACAAAATGCAGATTGGCAGTTGCCATTGGCAGTAGGATGGGGTACCAGGGAGTGATTGCTTAATGGGTATAAGGTTTTCTTTTTCTTTTAAATTATTTTTAATGTTTATTTTTGAGAAAGAGAAACAGAGCACAAATAGGGGAGGAGCAGAGAGAGAGGGAGACACAGAATCCAGAACTGGCTCCAGGCTTTGAGCTGTGAGCACAGAGCCCGAAGCAGGGCAGAAATCCATGAACTGCAAGATCATGACCTGAGAAGTTGGATGCTTAATGGACCAAGCACCCAGGTGCCCCTTGGTTTTTTTCTTTTTTTATGTTTATTTACTCATTTTGAGAGAGTGTGTGTGAGAGGGAGAGGGGCAGAGAGAGAGGGAGGGAGAGAGAGAATCCCAAGCAGTCTCCACGCTAGGTACAGAGCCCAATGTGGGGCTCGATCTCACAACCATGGGACATGACTTGAGTCGAAATAAGGAGTTAGATGCTTAACAGACTGAGCCACCCATGTACCCCCTTAATGGATACAGAGTTTTCTTTTAGGACTATGAAAATGTTTAGAACTTGGTACAGATGATAATGGTTGCTTAACACTGAGAAGGTACTAAAGGCCACTGAATTTTTAGTCATATATTAATGGTTAATATTATGTGGTTAATCTAAAAATAGTTATGTGAATTTTACTTAAGTTATATTCATGTTTTGTGTTCTTTCATGTGATGGTCAGTCAGGTGCAGCCACAAGAGAATAGAAGCACAAAATAAAGCACCTCTCAGAGGAGGTCACTGCATGTCACACAGGGTCATTAGGTTTTGGTCAAGTGGCAGAAGACAAAAATGAGAGAAAAACTTTTCCCATGACCTATGTTGGAGTGGGAAAGGCAAAACAGGATAGGGTAAACAGTTTAGGACTAGCTGGTTTGAGTGTTTTCTGTGACCTGCTAAGTTGTTGGGGGGGACAGATGCCTAGTACTTGGCTTGGGATGATTAAGGCAGAGGAATACAGCCCTCTGAGGTGTAGAGGACAGAGAAAAAGGAGGCATGGCCCTGAACTGGCTAGTTTGCAGATGAAAGGCATACTCTAGGATTAGTCCTTTGCTATTTTTAAGAACTAACTACCTAGACCTGGGCAGGGCAGTGTCTCCCAACCCAGAAAGGGACTCTTTTTTAAGATGATAAAATGACATAATATACAGAACCTAAAAAATATATACAATGACACACTGGAAAGGGAAAGGGAAAGAGACAGAGAAACAGAACCTACGGACCTAGGTGTTGGGAACATAGATTTGAACCTGGATCCTTGTGCTCCTGAAGCTCACCCTCTAGTGGGAGCAACAGAAAACAGAAAACGAGGCAAGATATCCTTGGGTAGCGATGGGAACTTTGAAAACAGGAAAGCAGAGTCAGGTGCTAGAGCATACAGTAGGGGTGGGGAAGCCATTTCAATAAGGTGGTCAAAAAAGGTATCTTTGAGGAGAAAGCATGGAGCAGAAACACACCTGATTGGAGGGAAAGCTCCATCTGGAAGAGTATCCAAGGAGAGGAGGCGACAGGTGCAAAGTGCTGAGATGGGAATGTGGAGGGAGGCCTGAATAGCAGGGTGGCCAGGGAGGACATGGAGAGGGTGACATGGCCAGGGCCAGACCATGCAGGCTTATGTAGACTACAGGAGGGCTTTTGGAATTGTTCTACATTTACTGGGAATACACTGAAGAATTAAGGGCATCAGGGGACACAGCCTCCATGTGGCCCAACTACAGGAGGTGCCATTTACATGGACCACAGTGTGAGGGAGTCTCCCTGAAGTTGGTAGAGTTGGTGACCCTGAACCCCCAACTCTCCCACCCATGGTAGACACTGCTAGTCAATTACAGATTCCTCTCATCCAGCACCTGGTACTCAGAATCCTTTTCACAAGGAACCCCAGATGACCTCCATCACTTTTTCAGAGCTGACCGTGACATGCCCAGTATCTGCCATCATTTTCCCTGACCCTTTGCTGACACAAGGACCCCCTGGAGCTTGTCTGACAGAGATCTGGTGACACAGAGTTGGGGCAGACCTGATTAGTTCTTTATTGGGAAGGGGATGCAGTCTGTAATCCGGCAAATCTGTGACCCCAGAAAAATCTCGAGTTCTAGTCCCAGATGGGATCCTGTGAGGTCGTAGCTGCCCTGGAAAAAGCCACGGGAATGGCAATTATGCCAGCGCCAGTACACCTGGATGATGCGGACAGCACGGAGCAAACGGCAGTATTGCTGGCGTATGCGCCACATGCGGACCAAGGACTGCAGCTTGACCACTGCCCATTCTTGCCGCACGTAGAACTCTAAGGCTGCTCGTTTCCTCTGTGCCAGCAGCTTCGCCAGCGTCATCTTCCACCACTGCTGAATGATCCATGCTCTGAGTGTTGCGTGCAGCAATGTCCTGCGCACCAGGGTGCCCCGCCACCAGGCCTGGATCTTTATGGCTTTCAGTTCTTGGTCAGGGAGCTTCTTTTTCTTTGGGGGAAGAGGTTGCAAAGGCAAAGAAGGGACTCTCAGGGGACCTTCCCCACCCAACTCAGCTCCACGCTGTGCCAGGAATGGCTCCTGATCCTTTATCAACAATGGCCCCTTCCGCAGAAGTTCAGGAGTACTGGGCAGTGAGCCAGTAGACCAGATAAGTATCTTGTCTCTGCCCCTCTCTGGTTAATGAACCTGGACACATCACGTTCCCTGAGTCTCAGGGTCCTCATCTGCCTTGGCTACCACATGGTGACATGGACCTGCTTGGCCAGCCTGGAACCAGTACTCCACATATCATGTTGCACCTGGGCCTGGCCACCTACTTGGGCTGCATGTCTTCCCTTCCACCCCACCTGGAGGCTGGAGAAGTGGCATCCTTTGTTAGCCTTTCATGCCTGACTCCAGCTCAACCCACAACCTGCTGTGTCTCCCTGGCAAGTCACAGTACAGAAGTTTCTCTGCTCCACACGGTCTGGAGTCCTTCTCGTTTATTTCTCATTTTCACTCTTTTTGGTTCTCACACCTTTGAATTCAGTTAGCATGCATACATGCACACATGCACATACACACACGCATGCGCTCCCACATAGTTCTACACTCGGCTCTCCCTGAACGTGGCAATGCCTTCTCCACACACAGCCTCACTGCTCCACTCCCCACTTGACATGGTCTGATCCCCGCTTGTCAGGGGCTTCCATCCCCACAACCAAGTCTCCGGGCCTCAGTCCCCCACCTTTCTCTGACCGAGAAGGAACCAGGAGGGAAGGATAACCAAGGATGAGTCCATCTCTGCTCGCTCCAGCTCGGGATGGGCCAACCATTCGTCCTGGTTGTCTGGGGACATTCTTGGGTTATGCTTATTGTTCCTGAGGAATAATCCATAGCACTGTCTTTCACTCACATGTGATCCTGGTTCAGGTGACAAATTTTAGGATCATGCCATGCTATGGGGCACAGAGAGGACAACCCATCACTCCTGGGTAACTGGGGTCAGAGATGTTGCAGATAAGAGTCACCTTCAACTCTGAGGGCCTCTCACTTACCTTTGGAGGGGGTGGCGGTGGCAGTGGTGATGTGGATGGAAGCTGTATTTTTTTTATTGTCTCTTTCTTTTTTGGCAATCTGGTTTCATCGACTTCTTCTATTATGATTTCATGAATCTGGCCAAACTTCTGTAATCAGAGTTTAGAGAGGAAAGGTGTTGGCAGGTGTTCTTTGTACAATTTTGTGCCAAATCCACCACACACTCAACCTCCTGCCTTGCCAGAGACCCTAGATGTAGGACTGGCACCCTGGGTTAACGGTGCAAATCCACCTTCCCCTGCCTGCAACTTTGGGCGGCTCTCTCTTACACAAAACGGAACGCCCATGATTTGGATGTAGATGGTTCAAATCCTCTCCAGTCTGCAATCCCCGAAATTCCCCATGGTTAGGGGCTCAATGGTTTCATTGTTCCCAGGTCTGTGCGGCAGCCTGGCAGGAGGAGGAAAGGGGGAGACAGGGTTATGATGTCATAAGTGCACCTATGACTCAGGCACTAGGGCGGTTCCAGACAGTAGAGTTTGTTTTGGTGCAAATGTGGAAATCTTCCCACTCTTCCCTACCCCAAATGCCCAAAATTTGGCTAAAAAGGCAGCACACGATAAATATTTACCCACCGGCACTAAAGCGTATATAAACAGTCATTCTGGCTGGTTGGTAAAAACATAAATATGAGACAATTTAAGTCTTCATTTATAGAGAATTCAATTACATGCATTTCAGTTCAGACAAACAATGGAACCATATAAAGATTAGAAAGAAGGAGTTTGGAGCAAATCTTAAGCGCTTCACTGAACGTTTACAAATGGCTGAGAAGCACATGAAAAGATACCCAACATCATTAGTCATGAGAAAGGAAAATTTGCACCACAGTAAGATACCTTAGAGAATGGAGAAAATAAAAATACTGACAACACCAAATATTGGCAAAGACACACAGCAGCTGAATCTCTAATAAAACTGCTGGTGGGAAGGGAAGAAACAGCAACACTTTGGAAAGGGGTCTGGCAATTTCCAATGAAAAGAAGCATATATTTGCCCTATAACTCCTCAGTTTTTTTTTTTAGTTTTTAATTTAAAAATTTTTTTAAATGTTTTTTATTTATTTCTGAGAGTGAGAGAGAGAGATGGTGCGAGCAGGGGAGGGTCAGAGAGAGAGGGAGACACAGAATCCGAAGCAGGCTCCAGGCTCTGAGCTGTCAGCACACAGCCTGATGTGGGGCTCGAACCCATGAACCGTGAGATCATGACCTGAGCCGAAGTCAGACACCTAACTGACCAAGCCACACAGGCGCCCCTAACTCCTTAGTTCTACTCATAGGTACTTACACAAGAGAAATGAAAACACACATCTGCAAAAGAGCTGTGCGTACCTGTTCACAGCAACTTTTTTTTTTTTTGCAAATAGTTTATTGTCAAGTTGGTTTCCATATAACACCCAGTGCTCATCCCACAACTGCTCTTCTCCATGCCCATCTCCACCCTCCCCTTCACACCCATCAGTCCTCAGTTTTTTCTCAGCATTTCAACAGTCTCTCATGGTTTGCTTCTCTCTACCTCCCCCACTGTTTCCCCCTTTTTTCTCCCCCACAGTCCTCCATTAAGTTCCTCCTAATCCTCTTATACGTGCAAACATATGGTATTTGTCCCTCTCTGCCTGACTTACTTCACTCAGCATAACACCCTCAAGGTCCATCCATGCTGCAACACATGGCCAGATTTCATTCTTTCTCATTGCCCTGTAGTATTCCATCGTATAGATAAACCACATCTTCTTGATCCATTCATCAGCTGATGGGCGCTTAGGCTCTTTCCATGATTTGGCTATTGTTGAGAGTGCTGCTATGAACATTGAGGTACATGTGCCCCTATGCATCAGCGCTCCTATATCCCTTGGGTAAATTCCTAGCAGTGCTATTGCTGGATCCTAGGGGAGTTCTATTGTTAATTTTTTGAGGAACCTCTATACTGTTTTCCAGAGGGGCTGCACCAGTTTACATTCCCACCAACAGTGTAGGAGGGTGCCCGTTTCTCCACATCCTTGCCAGCATCTAGAGTCCTCTGATTTGCTCATTTTAGCCACTCTGACTGGCGTGAGGTGGTATCTCAGTGTGGTTTTGATTTGTATTTCCCTGATGAGGAGGGATGCTGAGCATCATTTCATGTGTCTGTTGGCCATCTGGATGTCCTCTTTGGCGAAGTGTCTGTTCATATCTTCTGCCCATTTCTTCACTGGGTTGTTTGTTTTTCAGGTGTGGAGTTCGGTGAGTTCCTTATAGATTTTGGATATTAACCCTTTATCTGATATGTCATTTGCAACTATCTTTTCCCATTCCGTTGGTTGCCTATTAGTTTTATGGATTGTTTCCTTTGCCATGTTCACAGCAACTTTATTCAAAGAGGTCAATGGTGGGGGCGCCTGGGTGGCTTAGTCGGTTTAGCGTCCGACTTTTGCTTAGGTCATGATCTCGTTGTTTGTGGGTTCGAGCCCCGCGTCGGGCTCTGTGCTGACTGCCAGCTCAGAGCCTGGAGCCTGTTTCAGAGTCTGTATCTCCCTCTCTCTCTGACCCTCCCCTGCTCACGCTCTCTCTCTCTCTCTCTCTCCTAGAAATAAATAAAAATATTAAAAACAAACAAAAAAAAACCCAAAGAGGTCAATGGTGGAAACAACCCCAGTGTTTACCAACAGGTGACGAGACAAACCGTGGTATATTCATTTAATGAAATAATACACAGTAATAAAAAAGGAACAAACTACTGATTCACACGATAACAGATGAATCTCAAAAATGTTACATTAAGTGAAGGACATCAAAGAGCATTCACAGGATGATTCCATTTATATAAAGTTAGAAAACAGGGAAAACTAAACCATAGATAAAACAATTCAGAATGGAGTTGACATCGGGGGTAAGGTGTAAAAAGTGTTGCCTGCAAACAGCACAAAGAAAGAGAAATTTGTTGTATCTTATTTTGGATGGTGGTTATCAGGGAATACAGAATTATGAAAATTCATCCAACCCCATTAAGAAGAACTTAATAAAGCCAAGAAGAGGGGGTATGTAGAGAGGAGGAGGCCGTCTAAAGTTGGAGGATATTAGTGTGAAGTTAACGGGATGAGGGGGCTGGGGAAGACAGGCGTAGGCTGGAAGATGCAGGCAGAGGTCGTAGAGACACATGGAAGGCACAGGAAGCATCTGTGTGGAGATACAAGTGTTGGGCAATCCCCACATGCCAGACTTGCATCTCTGGATTTCTTTCTTAGTTTAGATCACCACCTAGAAATTTTTTTACTATATTGTTACTTTCTTCCCCTTTTTTAAAAGTGTATTTATTTTTGAAAGAGAGAGAGCACAAGTGAGGGAGGAGCAGAGAGAGAGGGACACACAGAATCTGAAGCAGGCTCTAGGCTCTGAGCTATCAGTGCAGAACCTGATGTGGGGCTCAAACCCAGAAACCATGAGATCATGCCCGAGCCAAAGTCGGATGCTTAACCGACAGAGCTAGCCAGGCACTCCTATATTGTTACTTTTCAATCCATTCAAGCAGAAATTAAAAACTCTTTTTGATCAGTTTTTCCAGTTATTCTTAGCAAAAGGATTAATCCTAATTACTTAGCATGCCATTATCAGAAGTGGAAGTCTCTCCTGGAGCACTTGTGTGTTTTTAAATCAAAGTGCATTGACACACAAGGTTACATTAGTCTCAGGTGTACAACACACTGATTTGACAAGTTGAACCCCTGCTATATTTTTATCCACCGCCTTATTTTCAACTTCCATTACATTTTGTTAACAAAATACAGGTGTCTCTTTTTCCAGCATTCTTGCATTTATTCAAATTTAAAAATCAAAATTTGATTCTTGTACCAAAGGATTTGTAAACAAAGCACATACAATCATATGTAGAGCACACGTAACAGCAAAGAGCAGCCCCCCAGGAAACCTTCTAGAATAACAGTCACCAGTAGAGAATTCTGACCAAGAGCTGCCAACAATGGAATGTGTGAAAGCCACGCTTCCCCCCACAGGCCAAGTGCAGGGCCCGGTGAACACAGCTCTGGAACCAGATTCCATCGCAGCCCGTAGGGCAATCTCAGGACTACACGGACCGCTATGGCTGCTCTCTCGTGGTTTCACACCATCCTCCCTCCAGACATGCTGGGAAGCTTGGTAGCCTGGTGTGTGTGCTCGGGGAAGGGGCAACAGCACCACAGGCTCTTGTGACGTCCCATCAGAGCAGGAGCACACCCTTCATGCTTCTGGAACCAACCACCCAGGAAAGTGGCAAGGAGGCCGGTGGGCGGGAGAGGGACAGAACCAGCTTGCAGAGGATACCTCTTGGGTAACACCATTCTTCTCTTTTTTAAAACAGTATTATTGAGGCGCCTGGATGGCTCAGTTGGTTAAGCGTCTGACTTTGGCTCAGGTCATGACCTCATGGTTTGTGGGTTCGAGCCCCGCGTTGGGCTCTGTGCTGACAGCTAGCTCAGAGCCTGGAGCCTGTTTCAGATTCTGTGTCTCCCTCTCTCTCTGACCCTCCCCTTCTCACACTGTCTCTCTCTCTCAGAAATAAATAAAAAATGGTAAAAAAAAAATTTAAAAAAGAAATAAATAAAACATTAAAAAAATAAAGCAGTATTAAATTCAGAAGAACACAGGAATACAAAAATAGTAATCCATTATGTTTTATCATCAATACATCTTGGATTCTTACCCTCCCCTTTTAGCAAGGGGAGGTTCTGGAAAAATCTAAACAAGAGACCTATCAATCAAAATAATTCTGCAGAATCTTTCTGAAATGACCCAGAGAAGAATATCAAATGGTATTCACCGGTCCCAGTATATAGAATCTCTGTGACTTCCAGCAATTCTAGAAATATATAGTGCAGTCATATGCTGAGGGGATCCATGCAAAATGTTCAGCAGGTTTTCTGACGTATCTCAGACAGCTTTCATCATTTGTGTGAAAGAACTGCCTTAACCTAACAGAAGAGATCCAATTCAGATTCAGTATCTTGAGGAGGCGAGTTCGGGGCAGGGTACAAAGGCACCATGCAGTAGGTGAGCTCCAGGGAGAGAAGTCTCTGGAAAGAGAAGCACCAAGACCTGGATGCTGCTGCTGGTTGCTGGCTCTAGCAGCCCCATGACCCTTCCTTTGATGTCCAGGGTCACTGCAATCCTGCTTCCACCAGTGCTAGGAGTAGATGCATGAAACAGAACCTCACTGTGATCTTTCCTCTTCAGAATAGTATCTCAGCCACCATCTCCGCTGAGGACCTGTCTATCTGTTCCTTGGTGAGCTCAAAGCACCTGCGAGTGACCTGCGGCTGCCTGGCATCCTCGCTCACCATCAGCTCCCTGGGTTGATATATGCCCATGGCCTGATCCTCCTGGAAGAATCTCTCCACATTTTGGTACACTTCCATGTATTTGTACCTAACAATGA